AAAAATAAGAACTTTTAAATAGTTGATTTGATATTAACATTGATATATATATATATATATATATATATTTTAAATTTTATGATATTTTCAAATTTCAAAAATAAAATCATTATTGCTTTCCTAAAAACACATAAAATCGTATTATAATATCAACAAAGACAAATAATAAAATAGAACATCAAAATCGAGATATGTCTCGCTGCATTGCGCGAGTACCCTTCTAGTATATCTATACTTTACCTACACTTTTTAAAATGGTCTTATTGTAACATTTTAATTAACTAGAAAGGTACTCACGTAATACAACAAGATATATATCAATGTTAATGTTTCATTTTACTCTTATCTCTATCGATGTTAGAATACAATTTTATGTGGTTTTAAGAAACGATAATGTTTTTATTTTTAAATAAAATATAAAGTTAAAGATATCATAAAAATTTGAAAAAAATAACATAATACAATTTTTTGGTTTAATAATGTAATATTTTAAGTTTAATAACGAAACAATTTATTTTTTATATAATAATATAATTTTTTTTAAAGATAATAACCAAGTATTATATTTAAAACTCAATGATTATTATAATTATATGATTTTTATATGATTTTCTAAAATTGATCTATATTAATAGCAGATACACATCAACAGTTCCTTCAAAATTCCATTGTTTTGCGAATACAAAATCACTATTGTAGAACTCTAGTTTGGATTTTTTTGATCGATCATATTCATAGAACCTGAGTTCACAATTACGTACATTCAAAAATTTATCGTAACCCTGATAGAGACTGATATTACCAACAAGATTCGAACACGAAACCTTACACTCGTTCATGTGTTAGCAAGGGTGCTCAAAAACCCAACCAACCCAACCAGAAAATCACCAAAAGAATTCACCTGGAATCAACCCGACACATAGTTGATATAAAATTAGGTCAAACCACATCTATTAAGTTGAAAGTGTATCAGGGTAATTTGAACTGAACCCAACCGATGAACCCGATAGCTTTTTATACTACAAATTTAATATGATTGTTAAGTCAGTTATACAATATATTAATACGTAATTAGCTACATTCAAAATTACAGTACAATTTCAACATTAATTTTTAATTTCTTATTTGCATGAACTTCCAACTATTTTTTGATTTTGTTAGTCTTTTTTGTATGTTCTCATTTTGATTTTATTTCATTTAAACAAAAAGTTTAACCAGAGGTATAAAATGATATACCAAAATTTTAACCCAATCAAACGAACAACTCAACCCAACCCAACCCGTACGGTTTGCGTTGTAGTTTTGCTTGGATTAAGATTTCTCAAACCTCAAAAATTGAATTCAGTTATTTTTAATGCTTTCAATTCAGTCAGCCCTAGGGGTGAGCATAGGTGGGTCCCCGCCCTATTTGACAAGAACCGGAACTAGAACTAGAACCGAAACCGGCGGTTCTTGAGATATTGGAACCGGAACCGGTTAGAGCGGTTCTTGAATTTTTGGAACGAGAACTTGTTCCGGTTCCGGATACCTGCTTTCTAAAATATTAAAATTTTGTTATTTAGAAATAAAAATAAAACATTGTCAAAACACTAAATAAATAAAAATTAATACAAATTATACGGAATAGTGGTTACAAATATTGTTTGACGATTACAAACCATAATAAACTAATAGTAAATGTTGAAAGTTTAACGATTACATACTATAATTGTAAATGTTCAAAGTTTAACGATTACATATTACGAATCCAATTAAACACACGATTTAAAAAAATACGAATCATTTTATCTTAAATTATAAATCTCGTTTCAACTTCTCGCATACCCATCACATCCTCAATCTCGTACGGTACCCGTGAATAATTGAGTGTTAAAAAAACTACACAAACTCGTAAAAAACTGCACACATTTTTAACTAAAAACTACATATATTTTTAATAAAAAACTACATAAATTTTATATAAAAAACTGCACAAATTATATAAAAAAGCTGTACATATTTTTAACATAAAACTACACAAATTATATAAAAAACTGCACATATCGGTTCCCGACGGGTAACGGTTCCGAAAATTGAGAACCGAAACTATTCTCAATTAGTTCCGTATTTTAGAAACCGGAACCACTCATATCGGTATCGGTTCCGGTTCCGAAACCGACAGTTTCGGTTCTACAAGTAGATATCCGATTCCGCTGCTCACCCCTAGTTAACCCAACCCAACCCGCCTAATCCAACCCATGGACACACCAATGTATTATTATCCGATTTGATAAAAAAAACTTGATTTGATTATTGTTTTCTTGAATTTAAAGATCAATTTTTTGGATTTGTGACCAAATATAGACCAATGTACATATCATTATACACAATGTACAAGTACTCATTGCAAGATTTCTTTCTAATTTTAGAAATGTTTGATCATCCCTCTTTTCATAAAAATGTCCAACGAATCTCTTCCCTATTTATACCCTTCTCCATCCTCTTCATTTTTTCTCACACACACAAACCCCTCTTCGATCGGATCGATCTTCCTCTTTCAACAACAACAACAATGGCTTCCTCTGTAACGCCAACACCATTGTTGAAAGATGAACTCGACATCGTCATTCCCACAATCAGAAACCTCGATTTCCTCGAGATGTGGAGGCCATTCTTCCAACCCTACCATCTGATCATCGTACAAGATGGCGATCCTTCGAAAGTCATCAAAGTACCCGAAGGTTTCGATTATGAACTCTACAATCGTAATGATATCAACAGAATTCTCGGTCCTAAATCTTCTTGCATCTCCTTTAAGGATTCTGCTTGTCGTTGCTTCGGTTATATGGTTTCCAAGAAGAAGTATATCTTCACCATTGACGATGATTGCTTTGTAAGTGTCTTCTCGATTCCTCTTCTAGGTTCAACTTTTATGGATAGATTTCTTTGATTTTTGGGGAATTTGACTTGGTTTAGGGTTTAAGATCGAAATGAGATCACAAGATCTAGCTTTTTGATTTGATTTGTTCAATTTTGGGTTTAAATTTGAAGGAACTTTCAAAAGTGTTGGATTTTATCTGGGTCTAATAAGACTTCTGGTGGTGTAGGGGTTTAACTAGGTTTTATGGGGTTTCCAATATAGATCTGCTTTCTTTCTTAAAATGGATCTTTATTAGTACTAAATTGGGAATTTGATCTGCTTTCTTTCCACAACGTGTTTGTTTCATATGTACTGTATTCGGTCTTTTTGCTTGTACTTTTTGTTTCACAAACACACCACAAAAAGGTACAAATTCTGAACCGAGTACATGTTAGTCACTGTATTAAATTCTAGCCATAGATGAAAAAAAATTATATGAAATAGTACAGGATGCACAATGGTGCTATGTATATGTTTATGGTTGCTGGATCTCATCATCTGGTATAATGTTAAAAACCTGCATATAAATTCAGTAAAATGTTCATAATTCTTTGTTTGATGCGAAAACCGGGTTTCTTTTCGTTGTTTGGAGAAATTTCAAACTGAAATTACCTATTTGCCTCTTGTCTGCGTATAGATTTAGGTTCCCATGTTTACCTATTTTGTCGTAGAAGGGTATTTTAGACATTTCGCTTGATGGTGCATTCGAGCTATAGATTGTTCTTATGGTTTTGTAATGTGCATTATGTTGCTGATTCGACAGGTTGCTAAAGATCCATCAGGAAAAGATATTAACGCACTCGAGCAACACATTAAGAACCTCTTGTCTCCATCGACTCCTCTTTTCTTCAACACCCTCTATGATCCATATAGAGAAGGTGCGGATTTTGTTCGTGGATACCCGTTCAGTCTTCGTGAGGGAGTGTCGACCGCCGTTTCTCACGGCCTCTGGCTTAACATTCCCGATTATGATGCCCCCACTCAACTTGTCAAGCCTCGTGAGAGGAACACTAGGTGCATCTCTTTACCATCAAACAGTAGGCCCTAAATCATGTGGGGGAACTGGGGGCCCTGCCTGAATACCCATACGATGAATGATGCTTGAGACAGAGGTCCTCCATCGGTGGGTCCATACATTATGTAGGGCCCGTAATTGGATGACCTTTATCTCAAGTACTATTCATGGTATGCGGTCCTTCAAATAGTATTTCTAACGTGATGAAATAATATCTCGTGTCACTGGATGATGCTTAAGAAAGGGTTGGTCCATTATAGGCCATGCGTCTTATAGGAGCCGTAGGTTGAGAGGATCATGTAGGCGCCAGTGTTGGACGACCTCTTGAAAAGACACTATCGATTGTATAAGTTCCTTGAGTCCCATTCTCAATGTGCTGTAGCAGCGAGAGATACCGATACGATCCACCTGAATGGGCCCATAGACCCCAACATCATGCAGGACCATCGGTGGGGCTCATGTAGGGTCCACCTATAGGGCCCACAAACCCATGTAGGGCCATTGGTGGAGCCTCATGTAGGTTCCACCTATGCGACCCACAGACCTTAACATCATGTAGCTCCGTTGGTGGAGCCTCATGTGGGTTCCACCTATGGGGCCCACAGACCCTAAACATCATTCAAGGCCATTGGTGGAGCCTTATGTAAGGGTCCAATATTTATCTTATGGGGTATCTCGAGCACTATTTCCCATGATTTTTGGACAGAGTGACTCTAAATAAGGGGTCGACATTTATCCGGGTAAGTGCTTACCAAGTCACATTACCTCACCGATGAATATGGTAAGGACTAAGAATTTTACCTAGTAAGAACGAGACAAGGACCATGAGTCTTACCCGGTAAGTGAGGGCGACGACTCTTACCACGGTAAGCGCTTACCGGGGGAATTGTTGCATATAATGTCGTTTTGATGGACTAAAATCTTACGTGGTAAGTAAATAATAGTGTTAAATTTTACCCGTAAGCACTTACAGGGTAAGTGTTTGGTAAACGGCCCCTAAACCCCCTCCGCATGCTGTTTGATCCCTTCCATCACAAATTTCCTCTCAAAAAGGGTATCAAATAACAACACCCTTTTTGATGTCTAATCCTTTGTGTTATCACGTTGCCAGATTCGTAGACGCAGTTATGACGATACCAAAGGGAACCCTCTTTCCCATGTGTGGAATGAATCTTGCTTTTGACCGTGAGCTTATCGGGCCAGCTATGTACTTCGGTCTCATGGGTGACGGTCAACCAATCGGGCGCTACGACGACATGTGGGCTGGATGGTGCATCAAGGTAACCAACTTTCTTTCCCAAGATTCGTACTCCTGGCATGCATAGTTTCTACGCCGTTCCAAGCTTTTTGGAAGCCCTGTTACACTACTAAAATTATATAGATCGATTGGATGAGTAATAAATAAAACGAAATATAAAAGTATATATCATATATTATAGAGTAAATTATGATTTTCGTCCCTGTGGTTTGTTAATAATTTCGATTTTCGTCCCTATGGTTCAGAAATTGTAATTTTCGTCCCTATGGTTTGCAACTATTTTCGTCCCTGGACTAATTCCTACCTTATAACTACAAGGGACTAAAACATTAAAGAATTGTAAACCATAGGGGACCCAAACAATAATAAATTGTAAATCATAAGGATGAAAATAGCAATGAATTACAAACCATAGAGATGAAAAACGTAATTTACTCTATAATTGGTTGAAAGGCTAAAACAAACTTTCTGTGTCCCAAAATAAGTGTCCGTTTTCAAAAATAAATATCTACTTTCCAATTTTACCCTTGATTATGAGATGGAGAAATTCATTACTGAGTACTGACTCTATTATCAAGGATAAAATTGTCATTTAGCTAATTATAAATCTTTATAATTACACATTTCTAAAACTATATCTTTTTCATTGTGGACGTTTATTCTTGGGGACTCTGTTCCAAATCTTTACATTGATATAGCTTCGAGCACAACCCCGCATAATTTCAGTTTCCATAAATGCCCTCTCGTGTTTGGTCCCCACAGGTGATCTGTGACCATTTGGGGTTAGGCGTGAAGACGGGTTTGCCATACATTTGGCACAGCAAGGCTAGCAACCCGTTCGTTAACCTGAAGAAGGAATACAAAGGTATCTACTGGCAAGAGGAACTGATCCCGTTCTTTCAAAGTGCCAACCTGCCGAAAGACTGCACCACGGTCCAGAGCTGCTACAAAGAGCTATCGAAACAGGTGAAGGCTAAGCTCGGGAAAGTTGACGATTATTTCAACAAGTTAGCCGATGCAATGGTGACGTGGATCGAAGCGTGGGAAGAGCTCAACCCATCGGCTCCAATTACGAATGGGAAATAGAGTGGTAGATGTTATTCATAGTTTATACAAGATAGTTTAGCCCTGCTATGGAGTTTGAGCTATTCTTATGAGTTTTAAGTGTTCTTTTTGATTTCTTTTGAAGCATGGATTATTGGGGATGTTAGTTTTATAATATAGTATTTTAATTATTTTTTTTGCATTATTTGTTTGCAAGTCGGGGTATTTACACGGTCGTTATGGAAATTCAACCGTTCGACGGGAAGTTCGTTTATTTAATAAATGAACGGATATGAACAATTTTTTTTGTTCATTTAGTTAAACAAACGAACATGAACAAGAGTCTCGTTTGTTCATTTTTGTTTGTGAACGTTCGTTCATTTACTGTTTGTTTACGTTCGATCGTTTATATATTAAATTTAATATACAATCTTTTGTTTATTTACTTTGAATTTAAATAATATTTATTTATGTTTGTTTAACTCGTTCGTTTATATATTAAATTTAATATATAATCTTTTGTTTATTTATTTTGAATTCAAATAATATTTATTTATGTTTGTTTAGTTCGTTCGTTTATGTTCGTGTTTACAAATGAACATAAACGAACTCGAACACACCTGATTCTAAACGAACGAGCACGAACATAAAGATTTTCGTTCGTTTACCGTTCATGTTCGTTCATTTGTTTGGTTAAGTTAAACGAACGAACATGAACATGCCTCCGTTCGTGTTCGTTTGGTTCGTTTACAACCCTACCCGCATGGGACAAGTTATAAATAGCTCTGATTTTTAAATAAAATTAAATTTTTATAATTTTTTTTTTTCAAAAAGTAAGTTTTTTAGCCTTTCAAGATTTTATTTACTTAAATGTATTGTTTAAAGTGTATTTCAATACTAAATTGCAAAAATCATAATTATAAAAACACATATTACGTTTTTGTGTAAAAAACATTAAAAAAATATTTTAAGTGTATTTGAATGACCCAATATAAGATATTATTACAAAAATATTCAAATAAGATTTTGTATATGCTCAAAATTAATTTTAAAAATAATAATAATTAGGGACCGGTTCGGGCCCGACCTGGGTCCGGGTCAGGCTTTATACGTAAAGAACGGATCAGGTGTTTTTGGTTGGGACCAGTGTCGGTTACAAGAAGAGGATAATTTTGAGCTGGTACCAATTTGACACTGTCCAACCTGTCTAGGACCGATTTTGACCATCTCTAGTTTTCTAACTGGAGTCTGAAATCATGAATCAGATTTTGGGCTTTAGATTTTTTGTGCATTTCTGGTAGGCACCATTTCTATATCTTTGGGCTTTGGGACCCAAAAAAAAGGCCCAATGCCATCCAAAAGACTAAAAAGTCATACTAGGTTTCGGCTCCAGCATGATTATTTTCACCGACCACAAATATACATATTTTAATAGTACTAGAAGGTATTCGAACAATACAACTAGATACATCTTGATTTTAATATTTTATTTTATTCTTTATCTTAGTCGATGTTATAATATGGTCTTATGTGATTTTGAGAAAACGATGATTTTTTTACTTTTGAATAACATATAAATTTGAAGATATCATAAAATTTTGACAAAAATATATCGATATTAGTATCAAATTAACTATTTAAAATTCTTCGTTTTTTGTGTTATTTTTTAATTCAATTTTTTTATTATAATTTAATTTAAGTACAGTAACGAAGTATTTTACATTTGGTTTAATAATATAATTTTCTTATAAAGATATAATTAATTATTTTGTTAGAACTTGATAATTATCCTAATTATATTTTAGATTTTTTATATTTTAAAATGAGATGTTTATCCTCTATTTGATTATGTTTATCCGCAGTTAGTTATACGAATTCAAACATCGAGCTTTAATAAGTTGTATTTATGTATAATTCACTTGTAATCTTAAATTTTAAGTAATATGCATAAATATACAATACTTTATGCATAAAAAAATGGTTTTTAAGAGTTTTTATCAAATGCTTTATAATATAGTATAGATATATTTAAACGATACACAAAAGTAGTGTCCAAATCATAAACGGAAAAAAAAATCCAAATGTAATTATCTGTCTCGTCAGTTATCATGTCGTTGTATTGAGCCAGTGATACGTGACAAAAATATACGTATCGGGTAATTTTATGTGGAGCAATCTAAACATTACATGTTAAAGTTACAACTAACAGATTTTCGAAAAAACATATTTACTCGTTTTGGAGAAAATCTGATGAGACTGTGTTTCTGTAAGCTATAGAAAACAGATTAAAATCACACCGAAAACAAAAGACAAGCCAAGTAACAAGAATCGAAGATGTATACAATCTTCGAACAAAAAAGCAGAACGGCCACAGACAACTAAGGATGACAACGAAACTGCAAACCAGGTGATAAAACAACAACAACAAAACAGGTTTATAGGACACATACAATATTTAAGTGTACTAATATGGTGTCTTATAGGACAAAATATTAGTGTTCTATCAAAAAGTGTTACAATAAGTGTTTATAGGACGCTTCTGGGCATCAACAAGTTACTTTGGGGGCATTTTGAGCATAAAGTGTTGTATTAATCAATACTATATTATAAATCATTTGACAAAAACTCTTAAAGACCATTTTTTATGCATGACTTTATTGATGCATATTACTTAAAATTTAAGATTACAAGTAAATTGTACATAAACACAAATTATTAAAGCTCCATATTTGAATTCATGTAACTAACTGCAGATAAATATAATCAAATATTGGATAAACATCTCATTTTAAATATAAAAAATTTAAAATTGATTGAATATATATATATATAAACTATAAGTTGCCTCTATCTTTTATACATATTACTGTATTCATTGTAAATAAATTTTTTAAGTCATCTTTTTATATGGGATAAACAAACCTAACCACATTTCAAAATTTAAGAAATATTCAACTTCGTTTTGTCAATATATTATCTTCTTACCAATGTAGGAAAACCAAACAACAGTATAATTCATGACTCTAAGAATACTCAAATTATATAATGCCACCTCAACTCCTTTGTTGTTCCTTCGTAATATAAAAAACTATCACTCCAAACTTAGAGCTCAAACAATGGCTTACGTAGTTATATTGCTCTTTTAATTTTTGAAAGCATCACATGCTTATTTTATATATTTACTTATCATACTCTATCAATGTATCATTTGTTCATCAACACGGGGTTTCCAAAAACCAACCATAACACAAGATTTTTTTAATGCATCACTCTCAGGATGTCATCTCAATATTTTAAAGTAATCTTTTTATATGAGATAAACAAAGTTAACCACGTCTCAAAATTTAAGAAATACTCAAATCTTATAATGACAATTGCACATGAAAGGGTTGATTCATTTGAGCCAACATCATGACTTGTAAAAAAAAATCACCTCCTCTTTTCATACACACACATACACACACATTTCATTCATTCTACTTTATTTCTTCCCACCAACATGGGATAAACAAATTTTACCACATTTCAAGATTTGAGAAATACTCAAAAGTCAAATCTCATAGTGCCAAGTCATTCTATTTGGTTTCTTCTTTAATATATATATATATATATATATATATATATATATATATATATATAAAGAGAGAGAGAGAGATTCCGGTTTCCCCTTTCCACCGCAAGGTATACATGTTCTCAATGGTTTTTTTTTTGTATATTTTAGGTTTGATATTTTTATTACTTGAGTTAACTATTATCTTTATGATTATGCATACGCTAATCCTTGTGAATTTTTGGCTCCACATCAGAACACGAGGCATCCGTTAGCATATTTTTTTACGACAACGTGCTTTGACTATGGAAGAAATGTTCAATTATACGTATGCCCAACTAAGGAATGTTATTTGACGTGCTTACTGTGTCTCGAAATCAAGATTTCCAATCCTAAAATAGATAACTACATTTCCATTTTCAGTAACAGCAAATGTGGTCATTGTTTGCCTCGTGATACATAATTCTAATCAGAAAGAAAATGTAATATTTTAAACGAGTTGTTTGTGGATTGCAAAGAGAACACTGCATTTACCAACAAAGACGGAGACAAAAGAAGTTAGAAGAAGGACAAGATATAACACAATGGATGCTATTGGCACACAATATATGACTAATTTGCGTGATAAATTTGCAAACAGTTTGGTTTCTAATGCTTAAATTTTAAGCATTTTTTAAAAAGATTTTCAAGTATTTTACTTACAGTTGCTTATTAATATTGTTTTGATGATATCAATTATTTATGGCATTATGTTTTGACATTCAACTAGTTTTTGTCACATAACATCATTCCACTTTGAAAAATAAACAACAGTTTATCTAACACTTCTTTATTTATACTGGGTGGTAAAATCATCATTTTTGTCATTTAAACTCTGGTTCAAGAAAAAAAAAATTATTCAAACAAACAAATTTATCTAGACATACAACTTAACTCATAGACGTTTAATGAAAAAAAGGTAAACAACCCCTTATTTAGTTTTGCTAACAAAATTGAAATAGTTGAAAGTATCATGCAACATGTTACAACAATCAAAAACCAAAGGGTCTTTGACCTAGCGGTATGTGAATCATTGGCCTTCTAGAAGGTTAGGGGTTCAAACCTCACTAAAAGGTGAGGAATGTAACCCCATATTTTTACCATGAGAAATGTTACGTAATCTAAAACATATTCTTCAAAAGCACTCCAGAAATAATGGCTAAATTAAAACTTTAGATCGTTTACAGCGGAAGATTTTAAAAGAATAAATATATAACTTAATGTCAGCCCGTCCCATAGCGGGTTGCTTTACAAATTTATCTATCATAGATGATTGCACCTAAATATAGAACTTAAATGGACTAGACAAGTCTCTATGTATGCYCTTCTTTTTCTTTGTCCAACCTGAAACCTTCTGTCCCTGAGATGCATACTATAGTCAGCTTATAAAACTTAGTGAGTTCATGGTTTGCGTGAGTAAAGATCATTTCACATCATACATATCAACTTGTAAACTTTGTACCAAATAGTATGCATTTTCTGAAAAACATGCAACACTGAAAGAAAAGAGATATCATAAATTGTCTGTCGGGTATGAGTCATTTAGTCACTGGCATTTCCTAAGTTGTCCGACCTGCACCTGTCTAGACACTCATTACGGGGTTGTGCCACT